TCATCCTTAAATACCAGAATGACAGCAGATGTTGATGGACGTTTTTAGTACATTTATTTCTCAGTGACCTTCATATTTATGATTTCTGTTTCCTAGAGAAAGCTTCATCTAGACTGTGAGAATTGATTCCTACATGTTTTAAATCCGTTTCTGCTCTCAGAATAGATTCTTGTTGACGCTGCAATGCTGCTGATTGTGCTGCAGTCAAACTGATCGGCCATTTTCTGCCCAACATGGCCGCATGTTGGGCAGAAAGACGACCTTCCAAAATTATATTGTGTATTTTAAAACAAACTTGGAAGTTTCTTCTAATGTGGAAAAGACTTAGTTTGTTTTCTTTCTGTAATCTGTAAAACCTCAGACAGGAAGTTGCTGTAGTAACCTTTGACCCCGGCGTCTGCTCTGGGAAATCTGAAATAATTTCAGTAAATCTGTAACCTAAATAAGAAAAAAGCTCGATTAACGTCAACATGGCTTCAGTCGTGTCCATAGAGGAGAATTAATCAAAATATTTTCATTTAAATCTTTTTTAATCTGGTTTTCCTTTTCTCCAGACACAAATATTTGGATCTCCTGAAAAATGGAAACTAATTTACAGAGTAATAATTAAAGTTATTCAGTATCTGTTATTTTTTCAATGGCTCTCTGAAAACTAATATTCCACTTTAAAACCATTCAATTAAGATATGCTCTGTATAGGTTTCATTTTTCAGGTAATGATTTTCCTCTGCAGGTGGAAAACACGTATATTTTTCAGAACCAGGTCCAGATGACGGGGATTTCTGGCCGACCGTTCGGTTCCTGCCCCGCTCCGCTTTTTAATGCCGTTCTTTCTGCAGCAGCCAAATTAAAATACCGAGCATTTTTGTTTGTGTGCTCGGCCCGAGGAGACGATGGCCGGCGAAAATAAAGAGCCGTGCTTAAAAAAGCTGGATTTAAAAATGTTCTGATCAAATTTAAAAGCTGCTTTTGTAGATTTAGTGGATTTTCTGTTTAACTGAGGGTTTTATTTTGTTTCATGTAGAAATATTTTAAATGTTTAGAAAGTAAAGCCTTATTTCATGATGATAGACGATCACAGTGGGCTTTGTGACGTTGAGGCTCGGCTTCGTGTTTCTGTCTCTGCTTCCAGGAAATAGAAAAAATGAAGTAAAAACAATAAAAAAACATGAACATATTTTTATAGAATCCCAAACGGATCGGCTCTGCAGTGTCTTGAGACGAAGTGTTTATGGATGCGGTTTCCCCAGGGTGTTTTCACCGCCTGCACACGTGTACTCCAGGTATTTTTACATCGGCGCGGCGCTGGCAGCGCGGCGCTGGCTGCTGACTGGCTGCTGACTGGCTGCTGACTGGCTGCTGACTGGCTGCGCGCTGCCTGGCGATGGGTATTTTTATTTAAGGCTGCGGTGCCAGACGGGAAGAAGCTGCTGCCAGAACCCCCACAGCCCGGCGACTTCATGCTGGACCCAGGCCTCCCACTAAACACCAGTTTGGACCTGTGTTTTAAAGGCTTTTATTGTCTTTACACTCAGGTGTTAACTTATTTTTTAGTTTTTTGTTGTTTTTATGTTTTTTTAAATTAGCAACATTTACAATAAAATCTCTTTCAAGTAGAAGAAATATAACTTTTTTTAATCTGACATGATTTATTACAATTAAATGTAGATATCTTTACACTTTAACGGCTTTGGTTGCATATATATATATATATATATGTTTTTTATTTCATGTAAAAATCTATTTGAATGAAATAGATTTTTTACATTTTTAACTGCTATGGTTCATTTTAATGAAACAATGTATATTTATACATATATGAATATATATACAGAAATATAGATCTATGTGTTTTATTTATAGATCTATATCTCTAATATGATCTATTTCAATTAAGTAATTATATTTTTTACGTTTTTGGTGAATTTATTTTGGACACAGCCGTTGGCGCCGGGTTTTTTTGGTAAACGTTCTCCAGCGTTGCTGCGTGTGTGTGTGTGTGTGTGTGTGTGTGTGTGTGTGTGTGTGTGTGTGTGTGTGTGTGTGTGTGTGTGTGTGTGTGTGAATGGAGCAGCTCCAGTAAGGTATAAATGCGTAGTGTATTCTACATATTTACATGTGTGTGAGAGGGAAAGCGCACATCTGTGGCGGTAATTTCCTGTACTTTGTGTGTGTGGGGGTGTCTTTGTGTACGTGCCAAACCGGTCCAGCTGGCATCGGTTGTAGCTGAATCCGAGGCCTGTGTATTGGACACACACACACACACACACTCACGGTCGACCACATTCCTATTCTATACGCCTGTAATTATCAACCTCTTCTGCATCGACTACCATGTTGGCATGCATTCAGCGCTGGTCTATACACGCCTGATTCCAGCCCTGCAACACGCTTCATGCATTTCATCCGCACCGACAGCAGAACGTAATTACACACTAACTGCGGTTTGATATTTAGACTGGCTGCAGATTTAAGGTTTTTTTTATCCAAAAAAGAAGGTCTGCGTGGTAAAAATAGTAATCGACGCGGTCCCGCAGCTCGGAGAGGAGGGGAAGCCTGTTCAGGAGCCGCAGAGGAAATTAGCTTTGTTGTCTCCACACAACGGCAGCCGGTGTGTTTTCTGAATTCATCAGACACCTTTTTCACAGCGACGCGTTCGTTGGGTTTGGGGTTTAAAAATAAAAGTTCCTCTCCTCATCAAGCTCTGGCCTGCTGCTAAAGGCTCCGGACGTCTGATTTTAATCACACCAGAGATGTTGGGCGCAGTGATGAAACGGGGATCAGCTGAACGCTGCACATCCTCTGCAAAGGTTATTTCTCCATCTAATTATGTTTTTATGTATCATCCCTGCAAAAAATACTTGGCTCACTTCAATTAAACTGGAAAAACTACAAAACAAAAATATAGAAAAGAGAAATCGGTGTTTCCAAAGTGCGGCTCGGGGGCCATTTGTTGCCCTCGCAGTGATTCTGTTTGGCCCCCAACTGGGATTGAAACTTATGGGAAAAATGTCTCATTATAAATGAAATAATTCACCACAGAGACAAGAACTTTTAAAAATCAATATTAATTAAAACAAGATCTTATATTTTGCTAAAATAAATTATTTTAAGTTAATTTTGTCTCATTTCAAGTATGATAATATATTTGCAGTAAAAATACCTGGGAAGAGTTTCTGTTTTGCAGTGTCATACTGTAAAACAGGAACCCAACCCAAGTTCATGATTTAAAAGGACATAGAGCCACAAACTGGATGCTTCGGTTCTGGTCGGGATGCAATAAGACGACCAGAACCGTCGGGAATCAGCCATTTAAATCCCGTCGTTTGTCACCTGAGGATCTCTGCGCTTCCCTTCTGGGCCGTTCACCTCATAAATCTTATTTATCAGTCAAATGAAAGCAGCTTTCAATGGCAGAGAATTACAGAAAGAAAAATCTTTAATTCTGACTTTTTTCTCAGAATTTTGACTTTTGATTCAATTTTTTTTCTTCCTCCACAGTTTTTCTATATATTCTTTCAAATTGCCGATTAACTTTAAGAAGTGACTGCAGAGGAAACTATTGATTCATGTTTTAATCGATACATTTAAGGATCTCGATATGAATTTGATGCATTGCGTCTTCAGCGCCTCTTGTCCGCCGAGGCTTTGAGGAATGTGAAACCTCAAGTGGAAAAGCTGAAGCTCTTCACTGGAGTGAAGGAAACATGTTTCTTCGAGGGTTGTTTTCCTGGATTTGGTTTGTGACGGTTGCTTAGCAGGCGCACTAATGAGTCTCTGAAGACAAATGTTTGTCCAGTGAGACTCAGAGAAGAAAAAACAATGGCATTATAAATAAAACGACGTGTTTTATAGTCATCAGTTTATTCCACAGATATACCAGAGGAGTTCACAGGGTCCAAAATGGCGTCAATGTTTGGTGCGAACCCAAAAGGAAGCATTTGGTTCTGGCTTTCTGTGTGGATCGACGGAGATGTGTGGTTTTAATTTTGCTGTGAGATCAGGGAACAGAAAACATGAACGCTGCGATCAGAACTGGCTTTGGCGGCAATAACTCCTGAAAGCTGGTGTTTTCTGTTCTAATGTCGCCGGGACATTAGTGCATTAACACGCACACTGTCAGTGAGTTCAGGCAAAGGAACTGCAGTCAGTTCTGTACAATCAGTGCTTTACTACCTGTAATTCAAGTTTGAGGAAAATTCTCTAAGTTCCTGCTAGAAGGAAGATTGTTTAGTTCAGAAAGGCAATTTAATGTCTGATCAATAATATCTATATTCCAGAGAGTTTCCTGTTTGTTCTGCTCCAGGTTGCCTCATAATGCAACCAGAAAGTTTCTGAAATTAATCTACAAGTTTTAGAAAGTAACCTGTAAGTTTTAGAAAGTAACCTGTAGGATCCAGGAAGATAATCGTAAAGTTTGGGAAATTTCTTTGTTCATGGATGGAAACTGTAAACCCTTAAAAATACCATCTGTAGCGTTGAGTTTGTTACCAGACATGGAAGTTGAGGATGTGATGCAAACTGTCACCTTTTGCACTTCAGGATCTGAACATTTATCTTCTAATAATTTGCAGAAAATCCGTCTATTGCCAGATTTCATTATAGATCTGAAATATTTAAATACAGTTTGGGAAGCTGAGATAACTCAGCTACATGCTACTAGCTAGCATTTGCAAACCGGCCAATCCAGGAGCGCCATTTTCTTCCCTCGCTTCTGATTGGCTGAGCCATTGGCATGGTTTCCTCTGTGCGTATTAAAGCATATGTAGGTGTTTAGGTATAAAATAAGTTGCAATCAGCCTTTTCAGAGGCCGTCTCAAGTATTTGCATGTAATGTTTGTGCTAATCCCGACGACCGTCCACGTTTTTTTCTCTGGTTATAATAAATTGGTAAATATATGATTTCTAACGTAAGTTTCACTTCTTTGGACACAGCAGAGAGAAATGAAACAAAGTGTGAAATGAATGACTGTAATCTGTGTTGTCTTTCTCTCATGTAGGTAAATCGGAGAGGAGTTCTTACCCGTACGGCAGGGAGTCCAACCCACACTGCCATCAGGTCAGTGAGACTTTAAATGTGTCTTTTATCGGCGCTCAGCGGGCGAGAAGGCGGCCTCTGCTGCCGCTTCGCTGTGGGAGAAAACGAAGCTGAAGAGCAATCTGAGCCTTCATCGCTTTAACATCCTGAGTGGCAGCAAACCACCGCAAAGTCACACTGCAGCCTTTCAGGACCACTTCTTACCAAAACCTGCTGGAAAAAATGTGAAATCAACATTTACTGAAGTCAGATTTACTTTAGAGTGAAGAAGTTTTCACCAAATTCATCCCCATCATGATTCAATTCACACTTAAACATTTCAGTTCATCTTTTCCCAGGAAACCAAAATTATTTCTTCAACAGCCGTTCGAAGCTTTTCTGTCATGTTTAATTTAAAAGAATCTGCTAAAGTGAAAATATTCTCTCCATATAATCAAATTATTTCCACTGGACTCCAAATAAATAAATGCAATTTAAAACTTCATCCAGTTCAAAAGTTATATATATTCATAAGATATAAAAATTTCTCATTATAACAAGTTTTATTTTTTCAGTTTAACAAGTTTATCCAGTAAGACGATAAAGTTTCTTGTTTTTTTAGAAACGTTCTTGTTTTAATGAGTTATTTTGTTATAACGGGATTTGAAATGTATTCAGATTCAAAAATACTGTATTGATTCCAAAGAAAATGAGATAATATATAATCAGTTTGTTTAAGTCCAAAAGTTTTAAATGATTAACATTTTATTCCAATTAAAACCAGATGATTTTAAACATTTCATTCAGCTTGTTCAGATATTACAATCGATTTTCTCAGATGGACAAAAATAAATAAAAAGATCTATATTTATCTGGATATTAATTTTTCCTGGGAAAGTTTTGATCTCCTAACTCCATCATCTCTATTTATTCATGTGCAATTATTCAAATTTAAAATACAGAAAAGCGTTGATTGATGTGTCCATCATCCTCATAAACAACATCTGTGAGGAATATTTTTATGTTTCTCTCAGAGGTGCATAACTTGGCCGCTTATTTCCAACTTTACAAACTAACTGTCATTAATTTTAAATGCAAGGCTGATATTTTGCAGATCACAGCAGCAGGTGTTATTAGGACTTTGGTGAAAGCTTTGTTGCTCTCGTTTTCTGCTCGTTTCTCGTGGAGCATATGCATTCATGCTAAAGTGCTGCCGATAATTAAGACGTACAGATGCTGCGTTTTGATTCTGCTGCTGGAATATTAAACAGAAAGAGTCTTCAAGTGTTGGCTCCACTTTGATGACCGCCAGTTTAGAAAATGCAGGAGATTTATTCCAGTGCAAGCTGTTGGAAATGTGCGGTCTGATGTTGTGGATTTCTGTTTATTTTTGTCACCAACATATAATAATTAAGGCTTATCAAAGTGCCATGATTCAAAATGCTATGCTACAAGGTGCTGCGGATTATTCATGAATAAGTGAAATGAATTCATCAGATCTTCTGCAGATCAAAAAGGTTTGAGTTTCAGAGCAGATGAAAGCTGGAGGATAATTGTGGAAAATTAGATCTGCTCAGTAAAACACTTATGGACGCCTGTTGGTGTTGCATCTGACACCAGTAAATAACTTCTGCAGGGATTGTTTGGGCAGAAAAAGTTTTGTCTCAGTGAAAATGATCAATAAATTCAAACAAAGTTTCCTTTAAAGTCAGGAGAGCAGTTTGTATTTTCATTTTAGACATTTATGCTAAAGTTTTGGCGAGTAATTTGAGTTTGTAGTTCTCTGGCTGATCTTCATTTTATAGTTCAGGCAATACCATTTTTTATTGGTATGAAAAAACCAACCGATGAACACATAGTTGCTCAGATGGAAACATTGTTAACTGCAGCGATGTGATAGATGTTAGCACCGTTTATCGCTGCTACCGCTAATATCCTGTACGTTTTGCAAAAGAACCATTTAAAGTTTCCCTCCTGATAGCCTGATGGACTCAGTTTGATTTGGAAATTGCAACATTTATTCCATTTTCACTCTAGTTTCAAACCAACCAGCCTGTTCCCCTCCTGGCCTGTGGGGGCTGCACCAAGAACCACTGAATGAAACGACACAAAAGCCTCTGAAGACACTGAGAGCAACTTCCTCCAAATATGGAAAAAAAGATGGAGACATTAGAACTTGGAGGATATTTGAAGCAATTTCTCCTGCTAGCACTAGGCTAATGTGTTTGCTATGGTTTTATTTACCCAGAATGCCCTGCGTTGTAGTCCACTTCCTGCTTGTGATGTGGTCTCCAGGTCGCTTGGTGTTCAGATACGTATTTGAACTGAAGCAGAGTTCAGATTGACCAGAACGACCAGAACCAGAGTTCAGATTGACCAGAACCAGAGTTCAGTCAGACCAGAACCAGAGTTCAGTTGGACCAGAACCAGAGTTCAGTTGGACCAGAACCAGAGTTCAGTCGGACCAGAACCAGAGTTCAGATTGACCAGAACCAGAGTTCAGATTGACCAGAACCAGAGTTCAGACTGACCAGAACCAGAGTTCAGTCTGACCAGAACCAGAGTTCAGTCGGACCAGAACCAGGCCCGGGTTTCTAACTGTTGTTTGGATCTTGAACTGCCCGTTACCCAGCAGGTTGTTGCTAGTTGATTCCACCATTTTAACTTGGTTAGGAAACTGCATTTCCCAGAATGCTTTGTGGTTCTGGATTAGAGTGAATGTTCTACATATCGAATGGGGTGTATTACCAATCGATACTGTTACTGATTTGTTGTGCGGCCCTCACAGGAAGTGACCTGAACGTTTGTTTGTCATCCTGACTGAGTCGTAACGTTTCCGTCCTGATCTGCCGTTTCCAGCTTCCTTCCAGCTGCAGCTTTTGTCTGAGGCGTCATCAACCCAAAGAGAGCAGAAATATTAAATGAATCAAACATCGCCGCGTCTCTGGCCGTTTTCTGACTGGGCTGCTGTCAAATTATCCCGCTCCAGAGTCTGAATGGCTCCTGATGGAAATTGTTGGATTAATTTACATGCTGGGCTGCGGTCCAACATCCTTGGCTGTTAGTGAAAGATTGAGAGAGCAGGAGTAAAATAAAACGTAGAGCGGGGCGGAGAGGTTTTCACTGATCCGTGTTTATATCAGCAGCTTGTTTTTCTGATTCCTGATTGGAGGCAGTTTTCATGGGCCGTATTCATGGAAACAGTCCTAGCTTTATATTTAAAGCCTTTGTCTTTACTGTGTGATATAAAAATATATTTTCATTTTCAGTGGTAAGAAAATGTCTAATTACTGTCAAGAGCAAATTAACTTATTTAACTTTTTCTTTGTTTTCCCGCCATTTTTGTCCTAATGCATAAAATTAATGACACAATTTTCACAGATTTTAAAAGTTTTTGAATAATTTTCAAATTCAGGATTTGTAAATTTTGTATTATTATTTATGTGTTCATCCGTTTAAATGTATTGTTTTGTAAAAAGCTTCTTTAGAGATCTGTTGAAATGATGGAGTTCCCCAAGGTTCGATATTCGATCCATTTCTTTTGGTGTTAAATACTTAACCCAGTCGGTGCTGATATGACAGATTATTGTCCTAATATTTTTTTTTTGACATTTTTGGGGGAGTTTTAACCACATCAGTTCAGTATTTAACAAATTGACTGCCTGAATCACAAAGACCTTCTTTTACTTTAATAATTACAGTCAAATATAAACATTATAAAGTTATTATCTTTTAATATGAAGAGAAATAATCTGGAGAAACAGCTTCAGTTATTACAGATGGAAACTAGAAATCAGACAGAAATCTGGGTTGAATCTTCAGAATCACATAAAGACAATTACAAAGTCGGCCTTCTGTCACCTGGAGAGCATTTCCAGGATACAATAAACCCTGAGTTTCTTTAAATCCAGATGGAAAACTCGCCTGTTTAGAGTTGCTTTTGATTATTAATTGAAATATTGATTAACTCAAACCTGGATGACAGTTTTTAATCACTTTGCTTCATTCTGCCTCCTTTGCACAATAAGCAGTTATTAATGATTTATAGATGAACATTTGTAAAGTGATAACATTTTGTATTTTTTCTAGTGTATTAAACTAGAAACTAGATTTAAAATACTCTGTAGTATTTAGAACGTCTTGAAACTTTATCTGCTTCGTGTTTATTTGAGTTTCTTTACCGGAGTTGAGATCATCTGTCTGTTTGTTGGCGTGTTTCAGAGCGTAAAGCGGCGGTGAGGCGCCATTCTGGGTCGCACATCTTGCTTACGGCTGCGTAGTCATGTGACTTTGACTGGGCCGAAACCTGCGTCTAATGCTTCAAGACATGAAATATTAAAAACTGCTGAAGCTTCATTTTTAGGTCTTGAGATGCCAACATGTGCACTTAAAGTTCAGGCACATAAAAGCAGCCGTTTGCATAAATATGCGTCTCTGCCTCAGACATTATGCAAACACGCATGAGGAAAATGTATGTAGATGGACTTGAATTACGGGGTGCAAACAGCGTCAATAAGCTGCAGCAGGCCGAGTTTTCATCACCTGCTCAAACCTCCGCAGGTGCAGCAGCAGCTTCCTCGCTCAGTCCTCCATGAGCTGAAATGGCCCTTTAAACACTCCAGGGGCTCTTCAAACATGCTGACCTTTGACCCCAGATCTAATCTGTCGGGTCGAGAGACTGCGCAGTAATGGCTCTCGAACAGAACTTCAGCACAAAGCTGCTGTTCAGCTCCAAGCATGCCGATTTTCACTCCCATAATCACATGCTTTCATTTCTCTGTCATGTTTGCTCTGCAGTGTTTATTCACAGCAAATATCTGACTTTTTAATGACATTATTGTGATTTTGAAATATTATTTAAATATAGAAAACCTGCAAAGAAGTTATTTCAGCTTATTGTTGGTAGTTTCCTGTTGTAAAAGAATGAAAAGTATGGAAAAAGAGAATAATTAGCTTTTACTTCTGGAAGACAAGCAGCAAACATTGGGAAGGAAAAAGTGAAAAAACATTAATTACAGTAGCTGTGTCCAATTAAATATTTT